CTGTGCTGCTGAGCTAAATCCACAGCCCCTTTAAAATTTTTAAAACTTACTTACTTATCTATTTTGAGTCAGGGTCTCACTATGTAGTTCAGGGTATCCTTGGCTTCACTGTGTAGCCCAGGCTGGCCTCGAACTGTGGTGATCCTCCTGCCTCAGCCTTCTAAGTGCTGGGATTACAGGCATGCATGCACCATCTCACCTGGCCCATATTTTAGTTTTTTTAAAAAGCCCCAGTTTTTAAAATATTGGCAACCAGGGCAGAGGATTTAGCGTAGTGGCATAAGTGCCTGCCCTGAGTTCAAGGTCCTGAGTTCAAGGCAGTGCAATGTCCTCAGTTCAATTCCCGGTACCAAAAAAAAAAAAACCACAATAAAAAATAAAAAATAAATAAAATAAAATATTGGCAACCAATTTCAGTTAAAAACACAAATATGTATGCAGGACCCAAACCAAAACAAAGGCAGGAGAGGAGGAGCCTATCATTTATAACTTCTACTTTATTTTGTGCTTTGCAGTGCTGGGGATTGAACCCACGGCCTCAGGTGCTCCAGGCATTTGCTGTACCCCTGAGCAAGTTCCAGCCTTACAACTTCTACTTTATTTCATTTCATTTATTTATTTTTATTTTATTCATTTATTTACTTTTTTGTCTTTTTGAGACAGGGTCTCACTATGCAGTTCAGGCTGGCCTTGAACTCACTTATGTAGCCCAGGCTGGCCTCAACTCAAAATGATCCTCCTGCCTCATTCTCCCAAGTGCTGGGATTACAGGTGTGCGCCACCACACCCGGCTACAACCTCTACTTTAAACAACACTCACAGAACACTCTAGGTTACATTAATTGTAATTGTTTTTTGATTGCCACTTCTCATCTTTTTTAGGGCAATGTTTCCTGGGCACCTCCTGGGCTCATGTTCTGACTGATCCTGTGACTCACAGCCTGGGATGGAGGCGGAGAAGGGATCAGAAGCCAGCATACTGGCCCATTTTACAGATGGAGAAAAGAAGATTTGGGCAGGGGAAGCCAATGCTCAAAGGCCAAAAAGCAGGCAAGAAGCAGAATCAGGATTTCAATCCAGGTCCGTCTGGCTCAGCCGTCCCCCTTCTGCCTACTCCTTCCTTTTCCTCCAGAAGGTCTGGGGCAGCTATGCTTGCCCTAAGCATGAAATCTGTTTGAGCTGGGCATGATGGTGCAGGCCTATAAGCCAGAATTCAGGAGGCTGAGGCAAGTGGACTGCCGCAGTTCAAGGCCAGCCTGAACTTTATAATGAGACTATCTCAAAAACAAACAAACAACAACAACAACAAAAACAAAAAAGTAGAAATCTGTTTGAGGTTATATACCAGTTTAAAGTTATCACTAGGCTGAATCCCTAGTACCAATCTACTTCTTACTCAAAGGCATGTTTGTTTTGACAAAAAATGTAGAAGGAAAGATGGAAACAAAAAATCAGCCTTAGGCAAACATCACAGTGCCAACTGCTCCAGGCAAGACCGATAGCTGTGAAAATTAGGGGCTGAAAGTTTGATGGCATGAACAGCCCCTCAGGAGCTCATAGTTACAAAATTACAAAAGTTATAGGAGGAACTTGGCCCACTGAAGAAACCTAGCAGATTCCCCTTTCACCAGTGGTCAAGGTTAAAGTCACACTAAGGAATTCATCAGCTCCTGCCTCTCCTGCTGTGATGGGCTAACCTCGCTCTGCACAGGATTCCCATCCCCAGCACTGGAATGGAGCCCAGGTTTTGGAGCAGGCTGGGCAAGTATCTCTGACTTTTCCCAGAGAACCAGGGAGTGGGTGCGAGGCTAGCAGTCTCACTTTTTAAAAGATTGTTGGTGCTGCCTATGGAAACCAAGGGCTCCCACGCGCTCTACCACTGAGCAACACCCTCTAGCCTAGGTTTCTCCATTCCTTGCCTAAATTACTGTGCTTTCCTGGGCCTCAGTTTCTCCATCGTGTATCACCCCTTGGGTGCATCTCTGCAGCCACTCTCACCTCTCACAGTTGGCGAAGACGAAGCGACGCAGCTTGAGATCACGCAGGACCAGACCGTGCTGGTGGCAATGCGCCAGGGCGGAGGCCATCTGCCGGAAGAGCGAGGCGGCCTCAGGCTCGGGGACGCGGCGGCGGCTGCGCACCAGACTGTGCAGGTCCCCGTGAGTCCGAGGGAAGAAGGCGCAGAGGAGCTCAGGGCCCAGCAGGACCTCCTTGGGCCGAGCCACATTCTGGTGCGGGGGCAGCCTCGAGTAAGGCTCCAGCACCGCCCGGTCTTCGCAGGCAGGGTACACCTGCGGGGGCGAGGGGAGGGCGGAGCGTAAGTGCAGCGGGGTGCAGAACCCAGGTGGCCTTATAGACAGGTGCAGCCACTTCTTTTTGTTTTGTTTTGTTGTTTGTTTTTGCTACTGGGGATTGCTGAATTGTCCAGGCTGGGCTTGAACTTGCAATTCTTCTGCCTCAGTCTCTGAGGCTGCTGAGATTATAGGCCCCTCCGTGGGCTGGTTCTGCACGCCCTCTCCACTCTGGCCAGAGCAGGTACTTTTCACCCTGATGGGGCATGTGCCTGTCCGTAGTCTCTACACAGCTGCCCCCCTGCCTGGACCTCCCTTCTCACAGCTGGGCGGCTCAGACTCAGCCCTGGCTGACTCCCCCTGAGCGCTGATGAGGGAGGGTCTCCTGTGTGCTCCCTAGAGCCCTAAGCTCCACCCTGCAGCTTACATCCCACTGTGGGGCCCACGCTGTGAACGCCCCAGTGCTGCACCAGTCCTGCTGTACCGCACTGGTCTCAGCCCAGCCAGGGCTCACTGGCTGCCTCCCAGTAAACACAGGAATAAATGAACCTAGGAACCTCCAAGCCCTGGTGACTCTCTGGAGCCCGGACCCCTCCCAGGTCCCTGATGTACCTTGCAGGTGTACTCGGTGCCCGTGGGGCGGTGCAGGGCCCGGTAGGCCCGCCCACCCTCCTCAGGCTCCAGGAGGATGTAAGGGCCAAGCAGGAGGGAGGCAGGGGCCACAGCAGGTGCCCTGGGTGGAGCAGGGGGTGGGCTCAGGGACTGCAGGCAGGTCACTGGCCGGGGCTGGGGCCCACCTCGAGCTCGTTTCTCAATGGGCCACTCAGAGTTCAAGTCAGCCAATGACTCCACCCGCTTCTTCCTGGAGGGGGCACCGGCAGAAACAGGCAGAGGGGTGGCTCGCATCTGGAAAGGAGGGGAGAAAGGCCCTAGGGGAGGCTGTTTGGTGGGCCCTCTGTTCCTCAGCTGGGTGGGCGCACTGGCACAGCCTTCATGAAGGCAATCTGGCAATGTGTGCTAAAATGAGAATCACACCCCCTGACAAGGGTCTCACTTCTAAAAAGTCAGTCTCCAGCTAAACTGCTCACAGAAAAGTAAATATGTGAAAGGCTGTTTATCAGAGCTTTGTGTCTAAATGCAAAAGCCAGGAAGTACTTAAGTGTCGGGCAGCAGAAGGCTGGCTAAGACAGGGTGGAATATTATATGGCAGTAAAGAAGTACCAGTGGGCCCTGCAGGTACTGTGGACTGATCTCCAAGGAGTATTCAGAGAAAAAGGAAAATTGTTGAGTTTAATTTTAAGCATGTGTCCTAGTGATAGCATGAAAAGTGGGTTACAGTGCAGGGTCCTATACAGCACTGCAGTCACTAACAATATTGCTAGTGGGCGATGAATGCTACAATCTCCACGGTGAGGTTTCCTTTTATTTAGAACAGGAGATTGAGCGTAGGAAGCATTGCACTACACCCCGGGCAGGACTGGGTGAGCAAGGGCCTCTGCTGCAGAAGAGAGCAGCCCCTACACTTAGCTGCTGCTCTCTCCCCGCCACGCTGGAAAAGGGTGATGAGGGCAGGTGATCCCAAACACCCCACCATCAAGGGCAGACAGGTGTGCGCAAGAGCCTCAAAAAACACTTCGTCTGAATCCCAGACACAGAGGTCCAGGGCAGAGGAAGCACGCACATCAAACAGCACACACCTGGCCTTCCAGGGGGCAAGAGCGGCAGCACACGCGCGAACAGCCGCTACCCGGGACCCTGCCCCGCCCCGCAGCCCCGCATCAGAGGTCCCGCGGGGGGCGGGGCTGCGGGGCGGGGCTGCGGGCAAGCAGCCAGGGTCGAGCTGGGCGGAGCTGGGCTCGGAACCTCGGGGTGGGGCTTCCGTGGCCGGCTCCCTGCTCTCTCCCGCCGTGTGCCCGCGGCGCCCCAGCTTACTAACCCAACCTGCCGCCTCCTGCCCGCGGGGACCCAGACCCTCTTACCCCGACCTCTCTGCCGCAGAGCCCTCGGCAGCCCCACAAATACACTCGACGCGACCCTGCAGCGCCCGAGGGGGTCTCACACAGCCCCCCCACTCCGCCCCACCTCCCGAAACAGACCACATATTCTGGGAGACGGTCGCACACCTGCGCCCCCGGCTGCCCCGCTCCGGGACTGAGCTGTCGAGCCCTGCACGTGCGCCCCGCGCGGGCCACGCGCCTGAAACCAGGAGCGCTCAACCCGGGCGCCCCGCAGCGGAGTTTGCCCAAAGTTGTGCGCGTGTGATACACGCTTGGCGCGGACGCCCCCGTACCCTGCCAGCCCCGTCCCGCCCAGCCGGTACCTTGTCCCGGCGTCCCTCCTGTCCTGGGACCCGGCGATCTCCTGGTCCGGACCTGGCGAAGGACGTGTGCGGAGCCGCGGCGCCTCTGCCACGAGTGACTTGGGACCGCCGCGCGCCGGCTCCCGCCCGGCAGGGTGATGTAAACCTGAGCTAATCGTCTGCCGTCTGACGCCCGCGGGCGCGGGATTGCGCCAGCCCTGCGCCCCGCCCCGGCCGGCCCAGCGCCCCCTGCCCGAGCGCCCGGGGCGCCCATGGGGTGCGGTCCCACCGCGGGGATCCGGGACCGAGAGAGAGGGCAGACACTGACCCTCCCCGTCTCCTTGGAAAACATTCTGCTTTTCTGAGCCCGTTTTCCTATCCAAGACATGGTAGGAACGTCTTTCTCAGGCTGGTATTGGAGAAAAGAAAAAGAAAAAAGGCGACTTTCCCGGGTAGCTCCAAGGGAGAGCGTGTTCCCTGGGTCCGAACCCCAGGAGAGAGAAAAAATAATAATTGGTTGCCTCTGGGCTCAGGAGAATCAGTGTGGCGCCGAGGGCCTGAGTCGGGGCCGTGCACCCAGCTGGCTAGTGCACCCCTCCTCGCCGCGCGCACTGCGCTGCCTCAGAAGAGCCACTTACACCCTGCTTCGGTTTCCTTCCATATGAAGTGGACTCACGGCAGTACTTACCTCACAGGCCCGTTGGGAGGATTAAATAACTGCACACAGATAAAATGCTTAGGTGCTCAATAAATAGAACAGATACAGTGGAGACTGAGAGGGCAGGACTGCAGGCGCAGGGGCTGCACAGGGGGTGCCCCTGCAGGAGGCCCTGGTGCCCGACCTGAGTCCCCAAGGGCCCAGCGCCTTTCTTGGAAATCCCCCTTTAGGTCATGATGTTCTCACTCAAAAAATAGCTCCCCAGGCAGGGCCAGAGGGAGGCAGAACGCACCTCCAATGCTGCCTTTGGGGTGCGCAAGGCCAGGGACCAGAGACCCAGGGTGTGGCTGGCTTGAGTCTCAGAGCGCCAGGCTCTCACCTGTGCCTCCCCTGCTGCAGAAGGATGAGTGGACTTACTCTCCACACCAGGACACCGAGACAGGTAGAAGATGCTCACTGTGGCGAGGGGCAGAAGAGTTGAGTGGTTGCTTTCTGTGCCCGTCTGAAGCCAGCACTGTGCCAAGTTTGCTAGAGATTGCTAACTTTGTTATGTACTGAGCTAATGTCCTGGTCTACATGCTGGGGACTTGTGGTGACCAGACTGATCCATCCCTGGATTGACAGATCTTGTAAACCAACAGGGAGGAAGACTATTATGAAGACAATCAGCATCACTTAAAATAGATTAGAGTCGCTGGCCATGGTGGCACATGTCTGTAATCCCAGCACTCTGGAGGCTGAGGCAGGATAGCTGTGAGTTCCAAGCCAGCCTGGGCAACATAGTGAGTTCAAGGCCAGCCTGAACTGCATAGCGAGGCTCTGACTGAATAATCTGAAAAAAGACAAGAAAAGAAAAGCAGGTTATAAAAATGGCAGTGGTAGTATGCATTTTCTTGACATGAAAGAGAAAATACAGGAGATAGATTTGTTTTCTCCTAATTGAAGGTGGCTATGTTCACTAGGGCTCATCAGGTGATGAGAAAGGCTGGGGACAGGTGCTAAGAGGGTTTAGGCTTCCTGAGGACTGGA